AAGCCTACCTGCGGTGCTTCAGCACTGCTGTGGCCTGCATTGCTAGCCAGGAGGTTTTGCTGGGCAAGTGTTCTGATCTGCTGCATTTGGAGTAGCAATATTACATTAAAATTATATCCCAATGCATTATATGCCAAAATGCAAGATGAGCTACCTCTTTTCTATTTTCTTCTCACAACAATCCTGTGAGGTAGGTGAGACTGAGGTCCATCATTGAGCTTCATGGCCCTGCAGGGACCAGAAGCCAGAGCTCCACCACCCCACCCCACTGGCTCTCCGCATGGGGACCTCCTGTGTTCCCAAAGGTTTCAGCCAGGGATGGGAATGCATTTGCTCAGGTCAGGGAATCACAGCAACTTTCCGAAGCTCACAAATTTCCTCAGTAATGGGAGCAGAAGAACTCAGAGGTTTTTAAAGAACTGAATGTGGCAGAAATCAAAACTGAGACAGTCATCCATCTTGACCAGGGGTCAGCAACCCGGAGCTGCATGTGGCTCTTTCATCCCTCTGCTGCGGCTCCCTGTCGCTCAGAATACGCATCACAACCGCCAATGTGCGACACCTGCCGGCATGCAATTTATTGAGCTTTTTGACCCCCGGTAGGCCAACCATGAAAAGAAAAGTTTCAGAAGAAAACAGAACTTTTAATGGTACGTGGGCAGATTCATTTGCTTTCACTGCTGATGAGACTGGTTTACCAGTATGCTTAATATGTGATGAGAAATTGGCAAACAACAAAAAGTCGAATGTTGCAAGACATTTCCAGAATAAACACACAGACTTTGCTGAAAAATATCCGGATGGAGATGAGAGAAAAAAAGCCATTTCGGAACTGTTGCGGAAGGTTGATCTGAGCAAAAATCATAAGTTAAGTTTGGCTTTTTATTTCATTAATACGAGGAGGACTCAAATAGACATTGAGTATTTTGTTTGAAAGTAACCTTCAACCCAGCGTCTTTTTTTCAGAGTTCAAAATATTTTTGTTGCATGCAAAAATAAAAAATTGTTTTCTCTGTTGCAGTTCATTGATTTCACAAATGCAACACACTGTAGTTTTTTTTACACATAGCATAAAGATAAAAAATGATATATGCAGTGTTATCTTCATTTTAGATGTTAAAAGGGTTTTGTGGCTCCCAGTGCTTAGTTTTCTGTGAGAAACAGGTCCAAAGGGCTCTTTGAGTGTTTAAGGTGGCCGATCCCTGATTTAGACAGATAGCTTTGGTGCTTCTCTTCCAAGTCTGGTTTAAATCCCTGCATATAGAGCCAAGTTCATGGTGATGAAGGAGGGCCACCATCTCTGTATTTTGTCTGCATTTTTAGATAGGATTGCATTAAAGATGGTCTGCATCTTTAACAGGTGCAACACAAGTCCTTTTCATGCTAGGAAGGTTTGGCCGATTGGATTTGGCCACTGCAGATAAGTAAAAGTTTGATTTGGTTCATAACTTACTAAGAAGCTAACAAGATTCCCATTTTTTTTTTTCATAAGCAAGCAAGAAAGAATTTGAGATGTAAGAACAATGTGAAGTAGGAGAAAGAGCAACTGGCTGATTTGTCTATCCCTGGGTTTGATAGTTTAATCTGTTGCTTCCCCGTCACCCCATTTTATTTATTTATTTATTTATTTATTTATTTAAAACATTTCTATGCCGCCCCCATCGCAACAAAGCCTCAGGGCGGTTCACGACATAATTAAAACATATAAATAACAATTAAAACAATTAAAAATTAAAAAGCCCGGTGACATCTCGGCTTAAAAATTTAAAACATATAAATACATAATAAGTTAACAATTAAAATAAGTTTTAAATAAAAAAGTCTTAGCCTGGTGCCGAAAAACAAATAATGATGGCGCCAGGCGGACCTCTCTGGGAGTCTTTTGTTCTTTACCTTTTTAGTTTGATATTACCTTGGACTGTTGCTCACTTGAGAGGTTTTATTTGAAATTAAAAGTGGGTTACAAATATCCTAAATGAACAAAAGGGCCAGGGGTACTTCTCTCAGCACAAGGCCTGGATTTCACGCAATGTGATGTTTTGCCTTGGGGAGCACTGCAAGAAGAGACAGAAAGACACTTGGTGTGGCTCCCTCCCAGTGTGACTTTTGCAAGGCAGATGGATTGTTCTTGAAGCTGCAACAAGTTGAGGGATTTCACAGCATCCTTTTGGGACTGTTATTGGCAAGGGAGAAAAACAGGGCATGATATATTCTAAAACTTGTGCTGAGGGGTAGGGAACAGAAGACAATTCCGGCTAGCCTCCACTGAGGCATGAGATTAAATCTCTTTGCATAAAATGAAGAGGATTTTGATCCTGTCATTTTGCATTCTTCTGACCTTAGAAGGAGAAGCATTCATTCTAGGCACCTTCCATTCATTACCATCCCCCTAAAGGGCATGGTTTTATTTGCCCCCCTCCCCTGCACACATATACTTTAGATCTCTGCTCATTCTTCCCTGCCAAGGATGGAAGATGTCTGTTCAATTTGTCATCTGCTGTAGCATTTGGGGCCAAGATTATACCTCCTGCCCTTTTGCTTGATCCGGCAGCCTTTAATTATTTTAACATATTGACTTATGCAGATACATTGCTCCAAGTCCAATTTGAAAGGGCTCTGGAATCTTTTGAACAAACAACAAGGATTTGCTTCTCCAGCCCAATTTTCTATTGCTTAGTGTTATTTTGCAACCTCAAAGGGATGAGAATTAGGAAAATTCTGTTGCTCATTTCTCTGTCAACATGCTTTTTCATTACGTTAAGGCTGAGAGATGCTGTAATTTAACATCAAGGATCTCTGTTGCCAGCACACTTGATCCCTCTCTCATTGAAATTGGGGTGTGGGGAGGAGTTTTCCCAAACATTTCATAGCAAGGAGGACACAGTTTTCCTTGATTAAAATTAGAGGCACCCTTCCAAGAATCAAACCCCATCCCTACCCCTGGCCATGCCCCTGTTTAAATGTAAGTATTACACACATCTGAGATCCAAGCCAGTCCGGCATGCCCAGTGAGGGAACTGGCAGGGCAAGGACTGGCCCTTCTCGGCAAGCTGATGCCTTTGATGGCTGGACACCCTGAAAGGTCGTGTCTGACGGGGTTGGCAGCACTCGGCTACTCAGACCTGAGGAGTTCCTTTCAGCGGAAGCAGCGTGGGGCTGCAGCCCTGATTAACCATTGTCACCAAAGCACTTTCCTCGCAGGGTGCCTTTCCTCCACTCCCCGCTGCCTCAACTAGCGGTCAGCAGCAGTAAGTAGACTTCTGAGAATTTGGCAACACACTGAGAGGAGTGCGGGTTTCTACGACTCTGACCCGCAGTCCTCGCAGCAGCCGGGTGGCTGGAAGGCACACGAATTCTGCAGTGGACCATCCGGATTTAAGCAACTGCACATTATTGCAGGATGCATTTGTGGGCAGGAGCCAGATTCTCCTGCATCCTTAAAATATCTGATTCCATCAGTGAGCAGGCAACAGAATGAATGATGCCTGATAATCCACAACATACCAACAGGACAAATTTGAGAAAACTCATTCATCCCTAGCTGTTTTGGAGCATGAAGCCCCATATCTTCACCCCATGGTCTGTCCCAGCAATACCACTGTGTCTTTCAGCCTGATCTAGACTTCCTTTTTGAAAAGTTGCTCCCAGACATAACCTTTGAAGCTTTTTTCTACATCTGAATGCTCCTTTTCTCCACTATAAATACTCTTTTTCCATGAAGAAGCTAGTCCAAAATCTTATAATTACTTCCAAAATCACAAGATCTGGGTTCTTGTTGAAGGGAGATCACCTTTACACTGAAAAATGTGTCCCATTTATTCAGCCCCCTCTCCACAAATAGTACTTTCTCAGATTGGATACAAAAGGAGAGCAAAACCCAGCCTTGAAAACAATCAAAATCCCTGCAGCCCACCAAGTACACCACTCTTGGGAGCCGCTTTGGATTTGGCTGTCTTAAACCCTTGGAAGAAAAGAGTTTTAAACTTGGGGAGGGGCACCCACTAGCAAACACTTTTTGTTACTATTTGTTATTATCTGTTTTTATGAGCTGTTTTTAGCTGTTTAAACTTTTTAATGTTTTTTTTGAATTTATGATATCTGATTGTATCTTTATCATCTGTTTTTATGGAGTATACAAACCACCCAGAGAGCTTCAGCTGTGGGCTGGTATAGAAATGAAAGCAAGCAAGCAAGCTTTTCCATTTTCCTTGTTTGTTTGGTCTTGATGGATGGAGCACAAGGAGGTTATTAAATTAATTATTTAGTTAATCTTTAATTAATATGAGCAAGGCATGGGAATCCTACTTTTAACCAAGATGTGTTAGGGCCTGTGGGCTACAGACACCCATTGGCTTCCGAATATTTCTCATGAGTTTTGCTTAATGTGCTTTGTGTTGACTGGTTTTGGGGGACTATTGCATTAGCCCTTTCTGGGCTCTCAGTATATTTATTATCATCACTTGTCGTGTATTCATTTACTTATTTTTGCTTTCTTATTGTTGTTGCTTTTAAAATGTTTCAGCTACCATGAGAAAGGCAGCCTAAATAAGAATCAGAGCAGGAACAAGAACAAGAAGAGCGACAATGGCATGCCCCCCGCAGGTGCCCAGGCTTCCTCTTCATACTTTCATTTATTGTGCCTGGCTCAGGTGTGTGAATTAGGTTTGTTGACTGAATACTTAAAAGTGCAGACACAAAGCGTGGCCATCATCAGAAGCAGTTGCCCTTCGCTGGCCATAGCAGTCACATGTGGAGCAGGGAGTGGGCGTGGACGTCTTTGGCGCATGCTCAGTCCAGGTGGTGTAGAGCATTTGTTCCTTGCAAGAAAAGGATTTAAGGAACATGCTTTTATTTCAGATCAATCATTATGAAAGATCTTATCTGGGAGTCCAATACCAGACAGATCCAATACCAGTACACGGTCTATCACATTGGGTGTCTAGAAAGAGCCCAGCTGCTCTTTTGCAAGGAAAGATATTTAAAGGAAAAACAAAACTCACTCCTTCTGGGGGCCGCTGCTGCTGCAACCACTGTCTTCTCTGAGGGTCTCTGAGGATGGGACTGGCTGACAGCTAAGGTGGAAAAGCGGTGATGAGGACCTTGGTTGGAGCTCCTCAGGGAGGCCTTGGACCCTTTTCCAGATCTCGTGGCAAGCTTTATCCAGACTGTCCTGAGGAGTGTTGTGATGGATCCAGATGTGTCTTGGGAAAGGGCCAAGGGGAAAGGAGACTTTGGGGCTGACTGCTGAGCACTGAAGATGGCTCCTACTTGCCAGCATTGTTCCTTGCTCGGTAAGAACAGGGAGGGATTACAATAAAAATAAATTTCGAGGTTGATCCACACACCTTCCTGTGGTATATGTGTGTGTGTTTGTGAGTGTGGTGTTTGTTTCGTTTTTAACAGGGGATAGAATATGGTGGATGACAACAAACCCAGGTAGCCAAGTAACCATGGAATCCTTGCAGCATGGCAACTGAGATGAAGGGTAGCAACTGGATGGAGTTATGTGAGCCCCTAAAGTCCAACAGCAGCAGCAGAAGAAAGAGGAGATCCAAGGCTACATTTGGCTCCTGCAGCTCACTTAATTTCCTTCAATTTGTACATCTGAAGTTCCTCATCTGAGAGGCTGCTGACAGAAAAGGTAGTCTTTCTTTTTCTAACCAGTTCTCCAGCATCCAGTCAGAGAATGCTCCATGTATTATGACTGTGGGAACCTCCCCTACACCCACATCCCGTCAGCAGTGTGACCCACCGCCTAAAATCTCTTGCAATGCCTCAGAGTGAGGTGATATAGAAGGTGAGATTAAGGGAAGGCTCATGAGTGCGAGGGGGAGAGCAGAGGACATGTCTACATTTCCCAATTTTCTTGCTCAGGCTGTGAGAGGCTGCAGAAGTAGCTTCATGGAGGCATCCGTTGTCTGGCTAGTGAGTGGGTGGAAGACTTCCCAAATTCCTCCAGAAATTCTGTGCCACCAGCCAAATGGAGGGTGGGGAGGCATTCCAGAGATTATTCTCTGGGGCGTGCATACATTGTTCCTACATTGCTCCGGGAGGGGGCTCACCACAAGCATTAGTAGCAATCACGGGGCCCATCTTTATTTATGTATTATCTATTTATTTAATTTATATCCTGCTTTTTTTTTTTTTTGCAAAGAAGTCAAAACGGCTTACATCATCCTCCTCCAGCTTCTCAATCTTATCCCCACAACAACAACCCTGTGAGGTAGGCTGAGCTGAGGGTTTGTGATTGGCCCAAAGTCCCCCAGCGGGTTCCATGGCTGAGAGGAAACTGGAGTCCCAGTGCTGCAGTCCTAACAACTGCCACACACTGGCTCTCTGACAAGGTTGCCATGGCCCTTTCTTTCTCCTGTGGCCATTTTGCGTTCCAACGGAGCCAAGCTCAGGGAAGCATGGTCCAATTTGGATGCCAGGAAGCACTTCCTGACAGTCAGGACCCCGAGGGTGTGGAATGGGCTTCCACAGGAGGTGGTTGAGGCCCCATTGGTGCGGGTGTTCAAGGATAGGCTGGATGTCCACATGGTGGGTGTGTCGTGACTGGAGCCAGCTGGAGCCAGGGGTCAGACTAGATGGCCTGGGAGACCCCTTCTGTCTCACCCTGTTTTTATGTTTCTATGTTTCTTTGTTTTTATTTCCTGGAAGAATCAAGGCATCTTTTTGGCATTCCTTTGTGGAGTCCAGTGGGGAAAGGGGGCCAGCCCCACCACACACATTAGCTGCCAGTTGCTGTCCAGGCCCAATTCACAGTGCTTACAATGACACACAAAGCCCTCAATGGCTTGGGGCCAGGCTCTCTAACGGAAGGCCTCTCCTCATATATACCAGCCTGGTCCCCGCAGTCCTCATCCGAAGCCCTCCTCCAGGTTCTTCCCCCCAACGAAGTGTGCAAAGAGGAGAGTTCTTCTGAGCATCGAGGCCGCCTCTGGAACTCAGTTCCATCGGAGGTCCAGTTGGTACCTACTCTCCTGCCCTTAGGTGCCAACTAAAGACATATCTGTTTCGAAGTTACTTTGATGAGGTAATCTCTTGATTTTTGCTGATGTTTTAATTTCATTCTTATGTTAATGTGCTGCTGCCAATCTATTTTTGTTTTAATGCTGGATTTTGATATGATTAAATTTTAATGTTTTGTTTTATTTTGTGGGTTGTGTGTGCGTGTGTGTGTTATTCATTATTTTTATTTTGCTTATCTTCATTATTATTTTGCTTTTATTGAATTTTGATAGTTTCTTAATGATTTTATTGTTATTGGTTCTTTGTAATTATGTATTGTCATGTTGTGTTTTGTATTGTTTTAAGTTCTTACAAATGTTATTTTTTAAATTTTTATGGATGCCCAGAGAGCTTATGGCTACTGGGGCAGCATATAAATCTAACAAATTGCCAATTAAATAAATATCTTGCAAACAGGTAGATTGCTGATGGGGAATAAAGAGCAAAAGAGTTCTCTTTTTCAGGAACTTCTCAGGAAATAACACCTGTCCCCCTCCCCCCCCCCCCCCAAATCGTAGGTCTTGCAGGTCCAAGAATCTTCCCAGCAACTGTCCTGAACTCCACACAAATTCTCTCATAAAAATGATTCTTCTTCCAATAGATTTCTGAGGAAGGGAGAAAGTCTCTAACTAGATTGTTGTTGGAACACAACCGGGTTTGGAGAGGAAATCCTAGGCAGGAGTTTTTCTTCTTCATTTGTGTGTTTATGTTATGACTGAAGGTGGCAGTGCAGAGCAATAATTGGTGTTTGGCTTTTATTTTTATTTTTTTTTCCAGGTTTGGTTAAAATGCTGAAGAAGTTTATACATGCTGGCAACGCCAAATGCTTAGCGATAAAAGAGAACTCTCATAAAGACAAACCAGTCAAATATTGGGATGGGGACTGTATTAGAAATGCGTTCCAGCACAAGTAATATTAAATTTCACAAAGAAGTTAAATCGGACAGGAAGGGTTTCATTTAAGTTAGGTTTGTGCACAAAAACTACCGCTACAGCTGAGGAGTGGGCAGAAACAGAATAAAAATGAGTTTTATTTTATTTATTTGGTTGCGTATTAGATATATACCCTGTCTTTTTTCTTCCAAAGAACCCAGAGTGGCTTACAGCATTCTCTTCTTGCTGCTCTCCATCTTATCCCCACAACAACAACCCTGTGAGGTAGGTTGGGCTAAGAGTCTGTGACTGGCCCAAAGTCACCCAGTGGGCTCCACGGCTGAGCGGGGACTAGAAGCCAGGTCGCCTGAGTCTCAGCCCTGCACTCTTAACCACCACACCACCCTGTAGTAGGACCTGAAGCATGTACAGAGTGCCTAATACAGGTCACAGGTTCGTTCAGGTTTGCTCTGTGAGAGGATGAAAACATAAGTTGCTTCAAGAAAAAAAATGCAGAAAGATGAAATACTCAGATAAATCTATATTTTCGGAAACCTATAAAAGAAAATGATCTGTGCCATGGACTTAAGAGCAGTTGCATCAGGGGTATCCTGCACACTAACAGAAAGTGAGAAAAGAAAGCCCACGAGGTGCTTCCAGAGTCTCTAGCCCCGTGCAGGTCCTCTTCCCCCGCACACCAATGAGAAAAGGCGAGCCTCCAGCTGGAGCAGAGCTTGCGCCTGAACAGTCAGGAACAGCCTCAGACCTTCCATCCCAGGCCAAGGGGCTCCCGCTCCTGCGGACTCTCTCCAGCTCCTGGCTGGGTTGGCAGACCCAGGATCTCACAAAGGATCTCTCTGGGACTGCGTGGTCACCATCAAAATTGCTATTATGAACATGCCTCCTCCTCCTTTGTTTTCTCGACTGCTTCTGTGCCTTTTACTTTGCGCCAGGTCAAAACAGCGCAAAAGCCGCGCTGGGTCAGACAGGCGTCTTTGCCATGCAGCGCTCTGTGCGCACAGTGGCCGGACAGACGCAAGTGGGAAACGCCTCCTTGCGCATGTTCTGTAGTAAGCAGTACATGCTGGATTCAGGGGAATGATTGCCTAGGATGCCGGTGGCAGCAAATATACCAGGACTTGGTCAGACTCTGAATCAGCATAGACTAGGAGAGAGCCCTGCCCCCTGTTGGACACCAAGTCACACCATCCCGCTCAGAGGGCTGTCCAGTTTCTTTTTGAATGTCTCTAGTGTGAGAGAGCCCACCACTAATTTCCCTTCCCCTTCCCCCCCCCTTTTTTTTGCTGTTGTAAAGCCTGTCCTGACTTCTTATCTGTCTTTTAAACCAAGTTTAACTGTGTGTGACTCTGTGAAGAATTCTTCTTTTGCTCTGCTCTGAATTTTCCACCAATCAACTCTGTGGGATGACCTTTAGGTTTTCACATTGCGAGAGGGGGAGAAAAACATGTCTGTTTCACTTGCTCCACACTGTGCATGACTTTGTACATCTGAGTAATCTTCCCTCTTCCTCACTGGACTTTTATCTTTCCCATAGCAAAAAGGTTCCCTCTCCCTCTGTAATGAACAGTTAAAAATCCATAAAGATTCACCCAGTGAAGCTTTCCTGGCATGAAACTGAAAAGGGTCACCAGTGAAATCACAGAATCATAGAATCATTTAATGTCTGTCACATACCCCATTAAATGCATAGCGAAAGATGAGGGGTGGGGGAAGCAGCTCTGTCTCAGTAAAGCATATGACTAAGGAAGAATCTGACCCCAAATTCCCCTAATCCTGTCCCTTTTTTTGCCTACTGTAACATCAAACTGGTATACAGAAGTCAGCTGGCAAAGCACTTCACAACAAGGAGATAAATCTGGTCACCTTCAAACTATGGGTATGAATCAAGCTGCTGTTAGTAATGCTATCTCTGACCTGTAAGCCTCATTCCTAGAAAATAACTCCCTTTGTGCATGAGACAGCCTTGAAAGAATTTAGTAATCCTGTTGCAATCAATAGGGCTGCTCTGGAGAAAGCAAGCAAAGACTTACAGGCTGGAAAATCACACACCTAGCAAGGAAAGTATGAACCTTTAACTCTTTAACACATAATTCCTTGATGCTTTAATAAACCAAATGATGCACCGCTTCCTTGCCTCTGCTAGGATATCTTCTGCAAAAAATGTAATTTTAAGGTGATCCACTCGTCCTTCCCACCACAATGGAAAGAAAAAGATTATCTTTTTCCTGACCCCACAGCATTCTCCTTTTTCTGCCTCTCTGATTCTTTCCCCCTTTTGGCCCCTCAGCCCTTGAACAATACAACCAGTTTGAATAGGACAGTAGAGTCAAAAACAGACTTATAAAGCCACCCTTTCAGCGCTTCAGTCTTTCT